TTGTGGAATGTTTTATTGCTGAGACTGCAATCTCGGCTGGTCAATGAAATAGGTGTATTAACCAAATCATTAACCTGTTACTTATTAGTACAATTATTTGGTTGCACAAGGTAAGGTATTAGGAAAATATACCTAAATAAGGACTTAATTGACCATTAAAATTGTATTAGATGGGCCGTGGACGTCACTGCAGTGCGGAGGAGAGAAGGCTTATTCGACGACTCCGATATGAAGGAAAAACGTATAAATCCATTGCCATGCTAATGAAACGTTCTCAAAACTTCGTAACCAATGCCTTAAAACCGGAAAAAATAGGTGAAAGTCGGGGAGCACCTAGAAAATCATCATCTAAGACCGACGATCGCATTGTTCAATTGGTTAAACGCGACCCGTTCAAGTCTTCCAGGACGATTGCCAATGAAATTGGTAATGCTGCTTTTCATGGTATGGTGTTGGTCCGATTCATCGCATTGACGGAATAATGGACAGATATGTTTACAAAGATATACATATTGGAGACGGTGATGCTACCATATGCCGAGGATGATATGCCACTTTTATGGAAGTTCCAGCAGGATAATGACCCGCAGCACGCCTCTCGAGTAGTAAAGGATTGTTTCCGAGAGCAAAATGTGGATGTTCTTGAGTGGCCAAGTCAATCCCCGGACCTCAATCCCATCGAGAATCTCTGGGGTGAACTCAAAAGAGAGGTGGGAAAGACTTTATGTCAAAATAAAAGTCAACTTTGGGATATCGTCCAAAGAGCATGGTACAATATTTCAATTGGAACATGTCGCAAGCTAATATCCTCCATGCCAAGACGAATGGATTAATTCCTGCAAAATAATGGCGGATATACCGGCTATTAGCTGCCAGATACTTCGTTTAATATAAAAAAAGACCAAACATAGTGAAATATTGATTTAATTTAAACATTTATCTTTGTACACCTATTATTGTGTCAAGCCAAAATTGGAGGATTTAAGGAAATATTTAATTTAGTTGTTTATGAAAGGGTTTGTGAAACCTTTGTTACTTTTTGTTTAAAGACAATTAATATAAGTTTTGAAAAAAGTTTGTTTTGTTGAGATTAGAGATGATAAGAATTAGAAATAAAAAGTTAAAAATGAAAAAAAACACACCTATTATATTGCCCATGAGTGTATGTAATATATATTGTATATTAAGGGCGTAAAGTGGTGACGTGCAAATAACTTATCTTTGTATATTGTGAGGTGGCAACGCCAAGCTGAAATAAAAACTTTAAAATTAAGCGAAATTAAAGGATGGTGTTGGTCAGATGCCGAGGAAACCAAGCTGCTTCCGCCTAAATCAGAAGAATCGGGCTTTAACTTCAATTAGCACGGTTACCATTTCAATTCTTTTATTAAAATGGCTGTTACTCTAAATAAAAAATGAAAATTGTGTTCCAATTTTAAACTACCACTTAAGCTGGAACAGAAAAGAAATCAAAATCAAATAGCCGCACGTTTTCGACTCTATAGTATACAGTGGTAACACAAGTTTAGCTACATTTTCTCTTAGGACATCTCCTTTACCTCTTGCCTTTTCACATAAATTTGATCTATAAATAGAACAACTTGCTCAGTTAATCTCGCCGCTCTAGCTTTTACCATTCCTTCTTGGCACTCCTCTTAGTGAAATTAAATGCAAATTAGTTTAGTCACAAGTTTAGCACACTATTCATTATCTTACCGTTTGCTCAAGACGAATTAGTTTTTGGTTCATTAAATGATCTGACAATTCTTGTTGTAATTGAGAGAGAAGAAAATGTTGGGCTCACGATGGCTAAAGGACGCATAGAGAGAAGTCGTCCAGATCCTTAAATCATCTGGAAAGACTATAAAGGAGATTTCAAAGGAGTTGCAATGTTCCCGTAAAATGGTTTACAATGCTCTGATAAAAATATAAAAAGAAATGAAACTGTAAAAAATGTCAGAGGATAGAATTATTGAAAAGATTGGTTTATGGACCCTTTTAAGTCCTCCAAGATGGTCAGAGATCAAGTATTACCAAATTTGGCATAAACGTGTCCTCCAGGAATATAAGACGATTGAATGAAAAAAAATGTACGTATGTGCATAGCGCAACACAAGCCGCATGTATATATCTAAAAAAAATTAATAAGCAAGACTGAAGTTTGCGAGGGAAAACTTTAAAAAAACACGTTAATTTAAAAAAAAATATACTGTGGAGTGATGAATCCAAGTTTTGTCGATTCGGATCTGATGGAAAACACTATGTACTCCGAAATTTTAGCACCCTTGCAGACTTTGCCAAGATTACTAAAATAGAGCGGATGCCCAAAGTAGCGAGTGAAAGTGAATTCCCCAAATGGCAATATCATAAGACAGCATATTTTGCAGATTTAGACATCCGATCGGGCACGCGCTGTCACTTTGGTCAAGGTACGTATGTACATATGAATGTATAAAAAAAGACTTAAAAAGATTAATGTTAACAACTTTTACCCTGCGAGAAATATCTTAAATTTTTGCAATTTTATCCGATCGTTTCTATGAGAGGTTTACGATAAACATAGACGTCCGATCGGGCCGACTTTAAAACTTGATCTGCATTCACATATTTCAGTATGGCTGTAAAAGTTGTAGATAGCTAGGTTTTAAACTGATCTCGCAAGCGGTATTGAAACGAACGGACAAGGCTATATCGATTTCCTTAGTGATCTTGATCAAGAATATATACATACATATACTTAATAGGGTCGGGGACGATTTCTTCTCTGCGTTACAAACTTCAGACCAAAATTATTATACTCTCTGCAAGGGAATAGCCAGATTGAAAATAAAAGTACCACTGATTCTTTTATGAACATCTATAGGTTGAGTGCCGCAGTTGTAGTCGGAAAAACTACGTTACCATCGTTTAAACCGCCTTGCTTAATAAACACTACGCGGCTTAGGAAATTAGTATCCTGCTTGCTTTTGACGATTGTACAAAAACAATTAAGGTTTGTCAATCGCGCTTTCTTTTTTCAAATAGTGTGACCAGACTAAATTACCTACTTTTAGAAATCAGTCATCCCTGCTAAATGAAATTAAATCATTTTTGTATCTGTATCGCATAATCGGGGTCTATTTTTATTTTACGTTTTTGAAAATTCGCTACGTTATGTATGCTTAGCCCTTTCTACAGTTTAGAAGTCCACTCTGATGCCAATGTAAGTGCGAAAACAATTATTCCCGAATAACCGTCAGGACAGCTTATCGATAGTTGCAGATAAATAATCGGTTTTGCCATCCCTGTTAATTCCGCGTCTTGGACAATAAGTAAATTTTAACATGTATTCTGCCATGGCTAACAAGTATTATAATAGCGAGAATTTCAAAAACATTACGGGTGACCAAGACGACAATAATGAAGACCTTCTGGATGTCGATGAGGATTATCTAATAATCGCAGAGGAGGAGACGAGCAACAAAGCTTCTCAGATCGAAGGAGAGGGGTCTCCGGATGAGGATTCCCAAGACACTGGAGGAGGTCTTGCTGTTCTGAAGGCAGCTATTGACTCTTTCAAAACACCAAATGGATGTATTTCCGACGATCCTTTTACCCCAGAGCCCGAAGAACCAGCAGCTGATTATGCGGGAGAGAGTTCATTTGCAGAATCCGGAATTTTTGCACGAGGCAATAACTTCGAACCAAGCTATCCCCCTTACAACGTTATAGCCACTGAACGTTTTTCACATACTTCTGAAGAAATATCCCTAGTGTCGTGGCTGATCCGGTTTTACAACCAGAATATCGTTTACCAGGCGTACTCGCCGCCCTCGATCCCCGGATTGCATGCCTGCAATTGCTGCCGCCGACACAGCCGCATCCTGCTGAACTACTTCGGGTTCGATTTGGTCGAAGTGGCCTGCATCCTGCTGAACTCGGCAGCTGCTCAAATGGAACCGCCTGTAGTCGTGGACGACGCTACGGTGCAATCCATAGCTAGCGGTCTGTTCGCGGCCATGGACTTCACGACCGAGGAGGGGACTCCCCTGATCGGACGCCAGGGCGTCGGTCGCCTGGTGACCTCCATTATCTTGGACAGGGAATCGGGCGTTCTTTTGGCCTACGCCGTGGCCCAGTTGGTGCCCCAGGCTTTGGTCGATGACAACACCGGGGACATTGTTGGCATGATGCTCCATCAGGTAACTCGCGGATTCGGCATCAACGAAAACTGCCGTATGATCATCACCGAAAACACTGGACCCGTTCTCTTGGAGGTGAACCAAATTCCAAACGAATAGCTTCCTTAAAACGCGTTAGATTTTAACTGTCTGCTTACTTAAATAATTATTGAAAGCCAATATGGTTCAGATTAGCTTTGCCTTCTGCTTTAAAACTCATTAGTGAAGAATGTCTGTAAAATAGGTCCTATAAGAAAGATTTTGGTATTTGATAAGTATTGGATCGACTAAAAGTTTTTAGCTTTGGTATTCTTTATTTTTTATGTAATGAGCTTTATTCCAGCCAAAAGTTTTCCAGTGACAATGGATACTATTGTATTTAAAAGACGAAATACTTGTTACATAAATGTAAATTTTATAAGTTTTAATTCAGATTATTACCAGAATTTTATAAAAATAGACCAAAAAAAGCATTGTATACCATATGAATTTCGCCGACTGAGTCGTTGAAAGGTCCTATTGAAGTCATTAAATTATATTATGTTTTTTCAAGCTGTAGTTTCAATAACTTATTGGATAAACGTGCTGCAGGACATAATTTAAAAAGTGGATGAAGAAAAAAATAATATTGATACGACAATGTTAAAGTATTCTGAGTGATAATGCCAATCGTTAATAGTATTTTACAAACTAAAAGTTGGCATAGTACCTAATTAACCAACTTATCTATAAAGAAGAAAAGGACAAATATAATTTGTCTCATTTTATACTTACCGTAAACCCCAAAATGATTTTCCCAACAGGGCCCACAGGTTTAGTCGTGGAAAAGACCTCATTAAGTTATTCAATTTTATTATTTTATTGTATGTAATGCAATAAATTTGTCAGTTAAAGTTTCACATAGTTCTTAGTTTCGTTTACATATGTATGTGTAAGTATTTCCTTTCGTTATTAGTCGGTACTTAACAATAAACTTTGCTATATCATGAGTACACGTGAGTTCGAGTGTCTGTCTTTAAAAAGTAATGTCCACACCTCGCTGCGATTCCGGGACGTTTGCGTGTAATGCGATTTATTTACAATTATTCGGGGTGTTGATAATTACACGTATGGCGTCTATACGTTAATCGATTTAATGAAAAACACTTAAGAGCTTAGAAATGTATTTTGATTTCGATTTGTATAGTACTTGCTATGGTCATATACGCCGCTTAAGTCTAACAAAGTTTCATTGTTTCCACACTCAGTTTTATGGGGTGTCCAATGGGTTGTTGGTGGCTTTTTGGCGGGCAAATAAAAGGCTGAAAGTTAAGTGTCAGGGGATGGGTGAAAGTGGGAGTGGGTGGAGGGCTCAAAGGCGGTTAGCCGCAGACCGCGAGCGTTTGATGCATGCAAGCCGGAATGTGTTAATTGTCCACACCCGTGAAAAGAATCCCTGTTAAATTAACCCCCTCCTGCCCTCCCCCGCTGTAATATTGACCGCAGAAATTTATTTCCGTGGCTTTTTTCTCGCCCATCTGCTGAGAGTGTTTGCGTTTGCATTTGCTCACAGCTGCTTGCGGTCTACTTGGCCCAGGATCAATTCGTTAAACGCTCAAAGGCCAGCGCATCAAGTATACGCAGGGTGTGACAAACGGCGCCTTGGGAGATTCGCACACATAATTAATGCCGCTTTGAGGGCATTGTTTGGGCGGGAGGATGGGTGTGTGCGGCCTGCACCTAATTGCAATTAAGTTGACGCTGCAGCCTCAATTTCCACGTCGGAGCAGAGGGAGCAAGGACAACTTTAATTAATTTCAGACGATTTTTATGGGATTTGCCGTGGATCGGGAGTGTGTGTAATTAAAAAGGACGTTAAGTGGATAAATAAATACGAGCCGGGCCTGCGGGTTCGCGATGCACATGATGTTTACATTTTGTCCGTTTGATTTCGTTTTATTTATTTCTTTGGCCGCCTTCCGCCTTTGTCTCCTGCCCGCCTGCTATTTGTTTATTTATTTTATATATTTATTTGTATCGTTTAAATGCAATTCATTAGTGTTTGGAATACGTCTCTGGTTGGATTCTGCCATTTATATTATTTGTATATTCAATTAATTTACATTTTGTTGAACGATTTCGCAATAGAGTTATATACAGTTCGCGATTCAGTCCGCTCAATTCAATAAATTTACTTTCGTTATCAATTAAATTGTATTTGTTTGCATTTCTGTTGTTTTCTGCTGGATGTCCGTTCCGATCAATGCATGTATTTGCTATAATTTTTTGTTCCTTACGCAATTATTTATTTTATGAATTTTGGTTTTTCCCGCATGTTTCGAGCTTGTTCGTGAGATAAGAGCACATAAAATAGAGTTCCATAAATTGGCTATGCAAATGTTTGCGATGTCGCCCATACATACATCGGAAAGTTCATATTTGTGGGTGTTCTGTTTGCCAAAGATAATGTTAAATAAACTCCTTGGAAATCATACAGAACTTCTCCGAATCCGGGGACGGCCTATTCGAGGGTATACAAATTTTGGGCGAATTCGTCGGCAAAGGAAGTTGGATATTGCTCTCCCAGAAACGAGGTCACCGACCAGAGTCCGGTATTTGCTAAAAATAATAAATATTCAAAATCGTCCGGCATCCGTGAGTGAGAGAGAGGGGAGAAAGTGTGCGAGGAGTGCGGAGATATGGCTAATTGAAAAGTTCAGGATGTCGCCACATAGGAAGGAGACTGCAAATGTTGTCCCAGACTCAAATTGCCATGCAAATGCATTCGAGTTGAATTTTTCCAAAAACGCATTCGTTTGATGGCAGGAATTTCCCAGACCCCGTCGGTTCCCTCTTCCTTCCCGGGTCGCACATGCGGTCCGAATGGATTCAGGATATCGATGCAATTTCACATCGGACTGCATAAATATTTACGGTTATGCATTTATGCAAACTTACTCGGTATTTTCCACAAAACAGAGCCCCGCATCCAAACCGAAAATCCCAAACAAAAACTACATAACAAAGTCAGTTAGGAGTCTGCCTAAGACTAGGGGCTTACTAACTAGTTCGCTTAGAGCCGGTAGAGCTTACGATTAGCTGGGGTTCGGGGTTCTCGAAACTGACAGCGGTAATCCGGGGATTACGGAATCATCCTCTATATGTATTGGTTATTAGTTAGTGGATAAAATCAACTAGCTTACAACATGCACTCAATTATTACGTTTATCTCTCTGTTCATCTCGCATTTGCTATTGGGGTCTATCAAATTAATCAAATTTTTTACGTTGGCAGAGTGTTGGGCTTCCCATCTTCTCACTTTCTAGTAGCTGCTGTGGCGCCTGTCCTTCAGTTCGGCTTGGTGGCAGTGACATGTCATGTGCGGTGGCCCACTCCGATGATGATGACGCTGAGTAGGAGAGCCAGGATGCTGAGGGCGTAGGCCCGGGTGGTGGCTGCCGATGAGGTGACCGCCGAGGCCGACGATTCGCCTACGAAAATTCAGACAAAAAATCAAACATTGTGGCGAGTGGTCTCCCCTACACAGTAAGAAACTATATTCATAATAAAAGGACATAAAGGACCAATTTAAAGTAAAACTTTATATCTTAAGAGGCGAACTTTATCTAACATAAAATGTTTCGCGGATGTTTAATCAGAAAATTCGAGTTAGGGTTATCTAAGCTAAATAAGTTTAATGTGATAGAAAATTTGTAATGAAAAACTCAATTTGATTGACATTAGGTAATAGTTTCGATGTAATTTAATATTATCTTATTACCATTCCAAAATGGTAAATGTCCATAGTTATGAATACCATAATCAATTCCTAACAATATAAACTAATTTTGACTTAGTTAAAATGCGAAAGTAACACGGCTTAAAGACTTAAATTTCTTTAATATTTTTATTTTTTTTTTGCGTGGAAATTCCCGGTCTGCTACTCACCATTTATTATGTTCAGCGTTACGGTCGCACTGGGGCTATTCGACGGGCTACATGTGTAATTGCCAGTATCGCGCTTCTTGGCCGACTCGATGATTAATGAGCCAATCTGCAGAAGAAGAAAAACACAGGCTCGTACAGTCGCAGATTCAAGTGCCCGAGGAAAAGTTCGGAAAAGAAAAAGATAAACACAGGCATTTTTATTCGGACATGGACACACGTATTCCAAATATTGGGCATGTGCCGGAACTGACTTTTTGCGGCGTTTCAGGGAAACAAAGTTATGGAGGCAATTAGGCGAAATGCGACAAAACTGAAACTTTTGGGAAGCAATATTATAATATATCTTGCTTGCCTGCAGCAGTCAAGGACCCATTGGAAACTGAGAGTAATTAAATAAAAATCAACAAGGGAGTTTTTGGTCTTGGCTAAGTAAAAGAAGCTCTGAGATACAGAAAAAGGAAATGTTTTTAGCTTAGAAGTAGTATTAGTACTAGTATTTATGACAAGATTTAAAATAAAACAAAGATCAATTTAACCATTATGATTTTTAAAGACTAAAAGTTTTGTAAATTGTATGTGTTATAAAATTAACAACCCAAAAGTTTTGCCACTAAAAAAGTTTGGCAAGTCTCCAACAAAAAAAAAAAAACATTGGTTGATTTTATTTATATTCAATGTTATCTATAAAAATATTAATATTTAAAATATATTTTGAAAACAAATGAGCACAAAATTAAAAATTTAGTTTATTGGCAAGAAGTGCTCTGCGAAATTCAATGTCTTATGTTATGAAAGAGATAATTTCGTTTCAAGTTCTGCTTTTTAATGCATATCAATACACACTTAAATGGAAAACGAACTATCTTTAAATTTAACTTGATAAATCAAATAGATAACTCCGTAATTACTGCGAATTTTTCGCTGTGCACTTACCGTGCTCTGGCCTTCTCCGGAGGCCTCCGGCAGGTTGGGATCCAGTTGCGTGCGGTGGCGGCGGGAGTCGGCCGCCAGTTGCTCGGCGCCGTGGTACCACATGATGAACGTGGGTGGCTCCAAGGCGCCGCGCACGATGCAGCGGAGCACCACGTTGCTGCCCGCCTTCACGTAGCGGTCCGGTTCTCCCAGGATCTCCGTGCGGGGAACTACAGGATGCGGAGGGGAGCAGAAGAGGGAAACGGAGGATACATAAGTGGAAGTGGCGAATTCGGCGCTACGAAATTGTGTCATTTCGCTAATCTATTGAATTAACAGCTTTGAGTCACGTCGCACACGTAAATCTGGCTGTGGCAGAGCGGCACTCCGCCTCCGAAGAAAATCCACTTTTCAATTTTTCACTTACTGATTCCAGCATGAACTACCCCCCAGACGTTCCGCCGACCCGGGCCCGGGTGATTTTTTGGCCAGCAGACACGCACATGCATAACAAACTAAGAGTTGTGTCAAACAAAAATGGAAGAAAGCAGCAAAAAAGCGCCGAATAGAAAGCACACACAACGAACAAGTTGGAAATGTTGGCGCATACATTTTCACACGACCTTCCTCCGGAAAAGTGGGGAAAGCCGGGCGTCTTCATTTGCTAGGGCGACGTGAGCTTTGAAATTTGACAAAATCACGTATACGGCGAGTTTTCACTGCTGTTACACAAAAATGTGCAAAATGAGTGCGCCGAGAATTTACACAAAATGCCCGACTATGCCCCAGAGTATCTGTGTGGGCCTCCAGTTGTGTAGTAGTACTGCAACTGTGGAACACGCGCCACGTTTTGGTTTGACACCAAACTGTGTCAGCTTGTCAAAATCGTCATGTTGTTGCATGTTAGTTTTCCAGCTGCTTGACTGGAGATTCGCGACACAGCAGCAAAAAATATGCAAAATGAAAAAAAGTGGCAAAAATACATATAGCAGCTGAAGCAGCAGCAAGTGCAATGTTATTAGCAACCGTTCTACTTTATCACCCACGCAACTTGGCTCTGGGGATATCACCGCCCGGTGGGAGAATAATTTTCCAGTCAGCAAATTGTGACACGCATACGGTTCTAATTAAGTCTACGAGGGGTGAAAATGGTCTAAAAGTATGCAACGTTAAATTTTAAGCTCAGAAGTACGGTGAATTCTTTCAAAAAAGACGATTATGTTTTTTTACTGCATACTTTTAGGCACCAAATGTGACATTTAAAAGTCTTTTTAAAACTCACGTAATTGGTGTGATTCTCTACTACATTTTGCTCTTTAAAATATATATCTAAATAAAAAAAAAGTATATTTAAAATGCGATTCCTGATTAATCGCCTATGCTTTATTCACTGCATACTTATAGACACCTAAAGGGCACTTAAAAGTAATTTCAAAACACAAGTGATTTGTGTGACACCCTAGTAATCTTTGCTCTATAAAATACTCAATTTAATTAGAAAGTTACATTTAAAAGGCGCTTCCCGATTAACCGCAGCCTTTAGCAATCATTTACCTTCGCCATTCGGAAACCAAACCCCAGTAAAAACCCCAATTCGGTATCAAATAGGCAATCGCAGGGACGCATTTTCAAATTAATTTAATTAACAACATCGATTCCCGAACTATTATGCTTGGACCTTAGAAATAATTCTGAAAAGAAAGCAGCTGAATGAAAACCGCAGAAACAGAAACCCCAAAACTTTGCGAGCAAACTAAAGTTGACCACACTTTCAGCTAATTCGCCGAGCACAAAGGGGAATGGCATTGGTTAAGAGTGTCAAGCGAATTGCAGCAACTTAAATTAATTGAGTTTATGGTGAAATGCTTTTAGGGAAATTAGTTAAGGGGAGGTGCGCAGACATCACAGGGAATATTGTCACTTTTGATGGTGAGATAAAGTGCGATCCCAAAAAAAATAATAAAACCAGAAGAAAACCCCAAAATTGGCTTTGGCCAACAAGATTAGCAGCAAATTAAATAAGCAGACCGAGCCATCCGAGAACGAATACGAAAGCAGGCAGGGAATGAAAGGCCCAAGCCCAGGAGATGAGATGAGATGAGCTGAACAGAAAGCGAGTCTCATAAAACCAAATCTAGTTTGTCGTTCAATGATGCAGAAAAAAATATATTCATTCATTCGGCATTCATGTGTGCGTGGCCACCGTGGGTGTGAATGCCTCTTTTGGCGCGAAAAGCTCCCCCATTCAAGTAATAAATATAAATCTGCCCAGTTGCCCGGGAAAAGTTTAAAAGATTATTGCATAAGTTTGCAGCTAAGCAGACTTGATGTTTTTCGGGGCATTAACAACGATTTGGCTCCATTGTGCTGCCCATTTCGGTGACCTAGAAACTTGAGTAAATGAACCAAAACCAAAGGAACTGACATTTTAACCAGCAACAAAGCAAACAAGAATCTCCATCCCGGTTCCCAGTTCCCCAGCCTCTCCATCGCCCCGCCGCCCCTGTTAACATAACAAATTGACCGAAAACTACGAGCCTATTACCCCATCTTTGGCTCTGCACCCGAATATGGCCCAGAAATCAAGCAGCAGGCAGGCAAAGGCCAAAGCCTCAACATAAAATCCATTGCCAAAGACTCGGAATCGAATTCATTCAGTGCCAACGGGTGGTGGTGGGTCAAGGCGGGTGATTTGGGTGGTTTCGGGGGTGATTTTGGGGGCCTAGAAGTGGGTGGTGCAAAAATCGACAACATGCAAAGGGAGTTTAGCCGTTTGCTCAGACAAAACGATGCAATAAATACAAATTACATGGCAAAGGCACAAAATCAGCCAAGCAGCGAGACACCAAAAGGGGAGTAAAAAGGGGGGGAAAACTGGCAGGAAAAACTGCTGGGAAAAACTGGCAGGAAAAACTGCAAAGGGGTGGTCAGGGGCGGGGGCGAATAGGTGCTGCCGATAATGGTTATGGCCAGCTGAATTGGGAGAAAAGGAGCAAAGGAACCGGAAGGACCACGCACACCCAAATTCAACTTCAAACAAACAAAGGCCGATTGGACCACGACGGGGAAATGGAAATGGCAATGGATGAAGGCCAAACGACTGCAAATAATGGTTATGCAGAAGGAGTTGGGGCACCGGGCGAGAAAGAGACGGATCGCCGAATCCCTGCCGGGCATGAATAGAAAGCCTTTTCGCTTAAACTTGTCGTTAGATTAACGCAAATGTGGCCGCGCATACGAAATTCAACTGGGCGAATATTTTTGGCTCCAGATGGATACCTGTTGGCTGCCACATCCTCCACCCATTCCCGATTTCTCCAAGGAAACACTTTAAAAAAATTTGATTTTAAAACAAAGAGACAATTAGATGTATAACAAGAAAGGAAGCTATCTTCGGCAAGCCGAAGTTTCTGACCCCTTGCAGGCCGTTCCTCTGGGAGCATTGTTTAAATAGAGCTTTCAGATTTTTAGAAAAACTAAAAAATAATTACAGAAATATTAATATTAAAATTAATATTAATAAGAGAACATTGTATATTTCTATTTTCTACCGTATATGTTTTACTTAAAACTAAATAGAACGGTCTTTGTATTAACTTGACATTAATGTTCCGATCCTTCCTATAGCCGCTATATTAAATAGTTGTCCTATTTTTATTACAGAAAATTCGTAATAATTCGTAATTATTATTATTAATTATTCGTAAATATTCTATATAAAGAATATGATCAAGAATAACAAAACTATAACTATTTTCCTATTATTTTCTTATTAGTTATACGATTGTTCCTATTTCAGCGATTATTTTACAACATAAATTGACATATTAAAAGAATGGCATTCCTAAGAGTATAAGTTATTATGTCAAAAAAAACCCAAGTTATAATTTTTTTAATTATATACTACCTCTAAAAGAAATACGAAAGGTTTCATCGCGATAGCTTTATAACTGAGAGACATGTTCCCGTTGAAATAGACGGACGGAGATGGCTAGATCGACTCGTCTGGGTCAAAAAGGACTCCTTCACAGCAAACTTCTGACGGAAATGCAAGGGTATGAAAACATAGCTCTTTAAGATGTGGATGTATCCTCAACTTTAAATAATATAATTACATTTATGTGAGCTGAGGATATGGACTTTATTTACCTTAAAGTTATGTTATTAGATAATAATTTCATGCGAATTATATCACAAAAGGTCACCAAAGCGAAACCCTGAAAATCCTGGTTCATAAACACCCGGACTTCATTCTGATTTTAATATTTAGTTGGCAATCCTAATATTTTTTTATATCTATGTAATGATTTTCTTCTTTCGTAGCATCTATATTTTCTGTTCCGTCGTACTATGATTATAATTGACTGTAGAATACAAATTTTGTACGAAAACAGATTTTATTAGCATATTTTAAATTTCAAAATGATTTTAGTTTAGAACTGAGTTAAACAAGCTAATAACGATTTTTATTCCCAGTGCACACGCACACATGAGGTTTTGGCACACATGCGCAAGTGTTTAGCATACAAATTAGCTGAGCCGGAAATGCGAAAATCACTTTTTGGCAACACCATTATCCAGTCTATTGCCCTCGCCCTCTTTTTTCCCTGTCTTTCCCCAGCTCGGCATGATGTGTCCTTTTTGCCAGCAGCTCCTTTGGCTGGATCTCCATAAAACCAAAGTGTTAGTTGGATAAAAGAAAATTCAATTTGTTGGCTTCAAATGCAAATTGACTTTTTACTTTCACTGCCTGGCGCTCTCCTTTTCGTTGCTATCTGGGCCGAGCTAAATTGACCTTAAATTGTCAAAGAATCGGAAATGATGGTGTAATTCCCGGCCCGAACTGTTTGTCCGGCCCGAGGGCAGTGTTTTTTGCCGAGCGGGATTCGCTGTAAAACCAACCTCAACCGCAAAACGGACAGATATGCTGGTGAAGTAGCAACTGCAATCGTTTCAAATGAATGCATCCGTGTCATAGATAAAATCCGAAATCCAATACCCGTGGCCAAAAAATATTCGCACTGATTTCTGTGTCGTAGCCCCAAGCAATGCGGTTGTTATTGTGCCGGCCAGATAAATAATGTGAGCCAGAGCCAGGGAAATTTCATATCAATTACAGGGCCCAGAACATCCTCCGATGCCCTCGACTGACATTTACATTGTTCATTTGGCCTGCTGCTGCTGTTTCTTCCGGTATGCAAACATGAAATTTAATTAACTTTTTACTCGGTGCTCGGTGTGTGTCTGTGAAACCAAAACGAAACCAGAACCCAGCACGTAAAAGTTTTCTCGTTAAAAAACTTGACCGACCAAAGAAATTTTCCGTCTGTTGGTGCAAGTGTGTGCTCTCCTTCTTTTTTTTTGAGTTTTCGAGCAATTCAATGGGCAATGGTCAGCAGCCGCAATTTGAATGCAATTTAGTGAGTAATTTGAAATGCAGTAGCCGCATGAAAGATGCCGGCCCATGTGTGGCCCTGCCCTTTGTGAGAGTGCTGGAAAGTTTTCGCATTTGCTGCCGCTTGACCTTTGCCCTCTGCCGCCCGGAAATTACACGCTCCAACTCATTTGAAAGCGAGTGTCTGAGTGCAAACTCATATTCATAAGCCCCGGCATTCCATGTTCACGGTCTTGGTCTTGGCCCTGACTTACCCACAACTTGCAGCTGGACACGCGCGCTGACTTTGGGCTCCGTGGAGACCTGGCACTCGTAGGACCCGGCATCCCGGGCCTGCACATACTTGATCTGCAGGGTCCAGTACTTGTCCGGCTGCTTTATGGCCAGGAATCGCTGGTCCGCTATGAAGACAGCCCTGCAAATGGAGAACAAAATGGCATTAGTTACATATTATGACCTTTAATTTGATTTAAGCGATGCGAGATAGAATGGGAAACTTATATATTTTTAACATTTTTGAATAATACCATTGTGAGCGTTTATATACTACGGAGGTATGATAAGAATCTGAACAACTATTTCCAAATTCGATTTTATTATCTTCTGTTAGCTTATAGTTTTAACTATAACATATCATTAGATAATAGTAATAATAATAATTTGAACATTTGAGCAGTGGTCAACTATTCCTTAAGTTTAACATACATTACATTTAGCATAGCTGGAAGAGGTGTTCAACAAATATATAAGAATCTCTCGCGGAATATATTGGAGTATTCACCTTTACTGTGCATTTTCTAATGGGGTTCTAGTGAGGTAAAAAATCTGACAAGTTCATCCCAGAGAACTGGTCCATTATTACTTGTCTGAATACTCCAGGTAGCTAAACTCTACTAACCACAGGCCATTCGGACTGACTTAAAGCGCACAAGCCATATAGCATGAATTCTAAACAAACGAACAATGGCGGCAGACCCACTTAGTGGAGTCCTCGCTAAGCCCGCTACTAATGGCCACTCAAAAGACACTCAAAGTTATTTAGTTGCGGCATTTAAGCGGCAACTAGAGGGGGAAAGAGTTGACAACAAAGTTGCGTGTTTGGGGCAGGCGGCATGCAAATGTTTTTGTTGGCAAGACGAAGGGAAGGGGCAAAGTCAGTAGTAAAATAAGTTGCGTTTAATGTCATTGTTGCGATATTTTTGTTCCTTCTTCCTAGTTGTTCCCTTCCACCACTCCACTTCACTCCTGGTCCCCCAAATTGCCCTCTGCACTTTGCCTAAAGTGCAAAAATGTTTCCGTCATTTGGCTAAAATGCAGCGGAATGGCCACGCCCACTGCACACATGCGTTGACATTGCTTATTATGTGCCCCAAAGCCGCCTCTTGGCTTGGACCCTCCCCTCCCCACTGCCACCCCCCTCACTAACAAGTTTTGATGCTAAACCCAGATTAGACCCTTGCGTTTTGCACTCGTAAAACTCGACATTTTATGACTTTTGCCATTTCCTCGGTGCCCCGTTTTTCCTCCACCTAAACTGTACACCCCCAGCTGTATTCCTTATCAAGATTTTGTAGTTACTTTATAATTTTCATTTCATTTTAAAGATTTCCCAGCGCGCTTGACTCTTCCTCGATTCTTTTTCCCGCTTCCCGAGTGCTCCGTTGTCCCTTATTTGCCATATATTTCTGCTTTTGGCTTGCTCCTAGTTTGTGGCTTTCTGCGGTCTCTCCGCTCGATTCTCAAGTACTGGGAAGTGACCCGATCCGGCATAAGTTTCCGTCTGCAATTTATTGTTGTGGAAGAAAATTCTGTGTGCCGGCCCTCCTCGCTTTTCTGTGATATTAGCCACTGGGCTGGTACGCCCTAACCGAGCAAAAAATATTCCTCGAGTGGGATAATCAAATAAGTTTTCCGTCATTTTGAACGGAGCATTAGGGCTTAAATTAAAATATATTTTTACATAACGCGTACAAAATTTGATATTTAAATACTTAAAATAATTTGCGTTTATTAATTAATTAAGTAATTAATGTTTAAAATTATTTGTGACGTCCCGTAAAAATTCCAAATAATCGTGGTCGATTTCTCTTATCGTGCCGACAATGTATTTACAATAATATTATTAAGACTTCGCGTAGTTTGTTCGTGAGATAATTTCACTAAAAAGGTGGACCAAAAATTGAAAATCTATTCAATTTATATGACATTCAAAGGTGCCAGAGCTAAGATTTGTGGAAAACCAAGTCAGATAAATATACACCACTATTAATAAAATAAATTAGCAATAGTTCCTGGTACTTTATGTTTTTTTCTTTTGCGCCTTATTGAAGTGGCCCCAGCATATTTCCAACTGTACCTTGTACAGGGTATTGGTTTACGTCAAGGGCTGTAGTATTTAACGCTGCTGGAATTTTACTATAGAACATTTACAGGAAAGGGCTCAATAGATGTCAGCAACTTTCTGATATTCAACTTTAAAAATATATTAATTTTTGGGAAAGTGACATTTTAAAAAAGGTTCGTTCGTTACTATCATCTTCTTCTTAAAATGTAACTAAATCTATGTGATGACATCTAAACTGTGCTTCATGACTCAATAAAATGGACTCCCGACGAGAAGTCTATATTTACATTTGTTGGCATCTTTTAGTCTCAGTTTTTTTGGCTAACAGGTTTTATACTAAGAAATGCCATTTATTTCTTATTGCATAAACTATCTAACTTCTTTTACATTTGACCACTACAATGCACATGAAATCAAGGAGGTCAGGCAGTTAGCCAATATCTTCGTTATTTTTCGTCTTTTTACGCAAACTAGTCTCTCAGTTTTAAAGCTATCGGGAATTTTGGGATTAAGCAAGCAGATTCTAAAGCTTCCTGCGCAGCGTAAGTTTGTTTCATTGAAGTGCCACGCTCACTCTAAAGCCCTAAGGCAGGTAGTATATAAGTCGGTACCAGCCGGATCGGACAACTATATCTTATAGCTCCCATACGAATAACCGGAAAAAAAAATTTAAAAAAATTATATCTTTGGTGTTTTTCAACATCAGCTTGGAAATAAAATTTTTAATTAGTTTTGAATTTCGAATTAAATTTTATCAAAATCGGACGACTTATCGTATAGCTGCCAAAGAAACGATCGGAAAATTGGTGGGAAAATAATATGAAACAAATTATAGCTTCGGTGTTTCTTGACATATTATATTATACTATTGGGAATATAATTTATTGTATTTTTAAATGTAATAATTAAAACTGCAAGGGTATACAAACTTCGGCTTGCCGAAGTTAACTTCCTTTCTTGATAAAGATTTTTTTGGCGTACATTAAAATATATTTTATTGAATAAGACTTATCTACATTCCATTAATCAAAAACAATCGCAAAATAATTTAAAAAGTTTTGAATTACTTAGATAAAACAAAAGAGAGAACGCTATAGTCGAGAGTCACGACTATCAGACACCCGTTACTCAACTTTTAAATTGAAAATTGATACTCGGTATGTTAAAATGTTAAGATGACCGCTTTAAAATTGTAACACACTTCGAAGAGTTAGTCGTAGACTAATGGGAAAACAGAAATATTTACAGCGCTGTCAACGTGAGTTTATTGGAGAGAACTGCCGCGCAGTTTGGGCTGCAACTATTGACTCACACACAAGCATAAATACATAAGTTATTGTCTGGCTCTAACGTCATTGCTTTTCTTCTTGGGAGGTTTGTGGACGTTAGGGTGGGCTTGAAAAACTTTTTTTATGTCAATCGCTTGGTATTGACGAGACCAACACTTTTCAGTTAATTTTGTTCTTTTAGCATCAAAACTGTTGGCGCCACAGTTTTGCGTGGATTGTGTGCGTTAGAGTGGGCGTGGCAACATTATTTTGGGGTTTATCGTTCGGTATTGGCGGGAATAATACATTTCAGTTAAAATTTTTTTCCTAGCACTTAAACTGTAGGAACCACAGTTTCGGCGTTAGAGAGAGCGTGGCACATTGCTGAAATAAACTTACGCTGCGTAATAATATCTAAAATCTGCATGCCTAAACCAAACTTTCTAGCTTTTGTAGTTCACTGCGTTTATACGGACGGACCTGTTACATTCTTTCCGACGAATCTAGTATACCCTTTTACTCTACAAGTAACGGGTATAAAAAGGCCTGTAGTACCATATCAATACGCTGGGTTGCTGCTCCAAAAGATAAGCCATGGAAAATTAAAAATTAAAATTAAAATTGGTCAACAGCTTGAAGTTAGTTAGCTGAGTAACGGGTATGCACTTAACTATAGCGTTCTATCTTGTTATCTCAGGTTTTTATGATTAAGCATTTTCAATGCTTGCCGGGTTGTAGCTCATAATGTACTCAATGTAGTATACTCATTTAATTAAAGGGTAACCTTACAGTTGTAATTTAAATCATATATCATCTAAATTGGTTAATTGCAATTCGAAAAAAGAGCAAAACACGAAGACATCAAAAAGTTTTGTTGACTTATTTGCACATCTCCTTCGCACTCGGTAAAGCTGAGTAACGGGTATCTAATAGTCGTGGCCGTCGACTATAGCGATTCCTCTTGCTTTAAACAAAAGTTTACATCACTTATGACCATATGACATTAGAAAATGTAAAAAAAACAATGGGTAAAGCGATTGTTCCGGCAAATTAGCTCTTAATGAGATATGCCAAACGATATTGGGAATCTTGGCTACGTCAGCAAGAAAACTAGAATCAGTTCGATATACAAACTCAACATGTTCAAGTACGCCGCACATTTTGTGTGCGCGTTACTTTCATGGGGTGTTTGTAGAGTCATAGCTGAAAGCGAGAATCCTCAGTGTCCCGAAATTCCAACGTACGACCCACTAAAGGATCGCGAAGAAGTGTGTCTGGTGGAACTATCTCCAGTGCTGGAACATATTGCCAATCAGAAGAAGCTGAAGGGGAGCACCATCGACTCCCGCATATTCAATGAAACGCAGGCAATGCTGGACAGGATTGAGAGTCACCAAGGAGTCAGAGATAAGCATTTGAAAGCCCTGCAGAGTAATATGGAAGGTCAGTTAAAGGTGCTACAGGCTAAGATAGCTCAGAATGTTAGTATAATATCCCTGGAAAAATCATTGCTACAAGCACAGAATGCACTTCAATGTTCTCTGGATTCCAAAAAGCCTCCGCCATCGGGTCACACGTTGATAATCAATGTGAAATTTGAGAAGATGGGTAAAAAGTTAATTTACATCGAGAAACATATTAAGCAGAATTGGTTTAGTGCAGCAAGCAAATGTCGTGGGATGGGTGGTAAGCTGCTGTCACCCCAAAATGAGACTGAACTGTCTCTCATCCGACAGAAACTTGATGCCAGTTGGTATTGGCTGGACTATTGCAATCTGGTCGATGTGAATAAGTGGGTTTCTTTGGCCACCGGAAAAGAAGCATCATTTTTGAAATGGGACAAGGGCGAGCCCAAAAAGGAAGCTAATGCGCACTGCGTTTACTTATACGCCGGGCTGTACCACGCATTTCCGTGCGACGACAGAAACTATTTCATTTGCGAAGTTGACGAGAACAAAGCCTTAAACTTTACTAACATTCAAGTTCAAAATAACACGAATATTAATGTAAATCTTACCATAAATATTAATGTAAAGGAAGACGAAAAAGCCAAAGAGAAGAGGAAAGAAGAAGAGGCAAGAAGAAAAGAAGAGGAAAAGAAAAGGGAGGAAGAATGGAAGAAAGAAGAGGAGAGGAGGAAAGAGAAAGACAGAAAAAGAGAAGAGGAATGGCGGAAAGAGCAGGAAAGAAGAAGACAAGAGGAGGCAATAAGGAAAGAAGAGGAAAGGAAAAAAGATGAGGAGAGAAGAAGACTAGAAGAGGAATTAAGAAAACATGAAGCGGAAAGAAGAAGGCACGAAGAAGAACGGAGAAAAAAAGAAGAGGCAAGGAAACAAGAAGAAGAAAGGAGAAGACAAGAAGAGGAAAAGAGAAAAGAAGAAGAGAGGCGAAGACAAGAAGAGGAAAAGAAACGGCAAGAGGAACACAGAAGAAGGCAAGAGGAGGCTAGGAGAAAGGAAAAGGAAAGGAAACGACAAGAGGAGGAAAGGAGAAAGGCAGAAAAAAAGAGGAAAGAAGAAGAAAGAAAAAGACAAGAAGAAGAAAGGAGAAGACAAGAGGAGCACAGAAGAAGGCAAGAGGAGGCTAGGAGAAAGGAAGAGGAAAGGAAACGACAAGAGCAGGAAAGGAGAAAGGCAGAAGAAAAGAGGAAAGAAGAAGAAAGAAAAAGACAAGAAGAAGAAAGGAGAAGACAAGAGGAGCAAAAAAGAAGACAAGAGGAGGCTAGGAGAAAGGAAGAGGAAAGGAAACGACAAGAGGAGGAAAGGAGAAAGGCAGAAGAAAAGAGGAAGGAAGAAGAAAGAAAAAGACAAGAAGAAGAAAGGAGAAGACAAGAGGAGCAAAAAAGAAGACAAGAGGAGGCTAGGAGAAAGGAAGAGGAAAGGAAACGACAAGAGGAGGAAAGGAGAAAGGCAGAAGAAAAGAGGAAGGAAGAAGAAAGAAAAAGACAAGAAGAAGAAAGGAGAAGACAAGAGGAGGAAAGAAGAAGACAAGAGGAGGCTAGGAGAAAGGAAGAGGAAAGGAAACGACAAGAGGAGGAAAGGAGAAAGGCAGAAGACAAGAGGAAAGAAGAAGAAAGAAAAAGACAAGAAGAAGAAAGGAGAAGACAAGAGGAGGAAAGAAGAAGGCGAGAGGAGGCTAGGAGACAGGAAGAGGAAAGGAAACGAAAAGAGGAGGAAAGGAGAAAAGAAGAAGAAAGAAAAAGACAAGAAGAAGAAAGGAGAAGACAAGAGGAGGAAAGAAGAAGGCGAGAGGAGGCTAGGAGAAAGGAAGAGGAAAGGAAACGACAAGAGGAGGAAAGGAGAAAGGCAGAAGAAAAGAGGAAAGAAGAAGAAAGAAAAAGACAAGAAGAAGAAAGGAGAAGGCAAGAGGAGAACAGGAGGAAGGAAGAAGAAAGAAAAAGACAAGAAGAAGAAAGGAGAAGACAAGAGGAGGAAAGAAGAAGACAAGAGGAGGCTAGAAGAAAGGAAGAGGAAAGGAAACGACAAGAGGAGGAAAGAAGAAAAGAAGAGGAACGAAAGAAAGCAGAAGAAAAAAGAAAAGAAGAGGAACGAAAGAAAGCAGAAGAAAAAAGAAAAGAAGAGGAACGAAAGAAAGCAGAAGAAGAAAAAAAAAAGAAAAAAAGCGTTTCTTCTAATAGTTATTATTATTCTTATAACACATACTATAGACCTAAACGATTTAGATGGAGTCTAGGCTGGTATTACTTTTACTATTGGTGGGAATAAGATAATTTAAAGCAAAATATGGAGCAAGATCATTTAAACTGAAGTCAACTTTTGTAAATAAAATTGTAACTAATACTTTTTTTGATCAAAAATTTGACGACACAAGTATTCTGGCTGGGAATATCTTATTTTAAAATAAATTATTGAAATGTATATATAATGCTTTTTTTCTGAAATGCCTTCTCTGAATTAAAAAAACTTTTTCGCAGCTTCGTGGCGGTGGATTGCCTGAACACATGAATTCGTTCATCATAATAGCCTTTGTATGATCAGATATAGTCATACTAAATTCAATTTATTGAAGCCTATGACAAACAAGTTAAATTTTTTCGATGTACTTCCCTAATAGCCTCTGCACACAGTCGCTCTTGTTCACACAGAGCTGATCGGGAAACCGTAACCGAGTGGAGAGGTTGTGCAATTTAGTTGCTCTGAAAAAAATTAATCTAGGATGAGATACCCATTCAGGCAAGCGTAGTGAAAATTGAAAAGGGACTATTGTGGGCCGACGAGAATTCCCGCTAGTTAGAACTGCTTGGACAATTTAAGTATTTATAACACCTATTTTAAGCAACAATTTCAGAAATGTACGTTTTGGTGGGACATTTCCTTAAAAAAAGGATAGGAATAAATATTTTCAAGATAAGATCTGTTGCTGAGTTCTGAGGCGTTGGAAGGCTCCAGAGTCCTACACCAACAACAATTTCTTCCTGAAACGCCAGGTAGAAGGAAGCGTTTCTGACCTCTGAATTATTCTTGATTAGGGTCACTAGCCGAGTCGATCTAGCCATGTCAGTCTGTCTGTACGTCCGTATGATCTCGGAATCTATAAAAGCTAGAAATTTGGGATTTGGCACGAAGACTCGTAAGCTTATTGCGCAAGTTTGTTTCAGCAGGGTGCCACGAACACTCTAACGCACACAAGCCGCCAAAAATATTTTCGTACCAGAAACAAAATTCAGATACTCGTCACTTACATAAAAAGAGCGCAAGAGAGATAGAGATTGCAGGGCGCCACCTAGCGGCGATTACTATATTTGGTCATAACATCTTAATAAATAAAAAAAAAAAACAAAACTTCATTTATACTTTTACAACATTTTTAAAAACGTGAACGACAAATAGATTTTTAGAGTCATGGACGTTTGTTGGCTTAAGAGTGGGCCTGGCTGACAAGCACTTGCGCTGCGCAAGAATCTCTTGATTATGGATGCTTATTTCCAACGTTGTTGCTATTTTAGTTTCCGAGATCCATTCGCTCATACGGACAGTCGGACATGGCTAGTGATCCTGATCAAAAACATATAGACCTTATAGCGACAGAGGCGGTTCCCTTTACCTGATACATACTTTCTTCCGAATACAGTACCCTACGATTAACGAGTATAATAATGGCACTAAATGAATATACACTCACCTAAATAAATACTCTTTGTGAAATGTTTCTGTTCGGCTCGCTACAGGAAACTACATCAGCTTAAAACCAGGAAGAACGCTATAGCCGAGTACCTCGACTATCAGATACCCGTTACTCAGCTAAAGGGACCAAAGGGATATGGATATATGTAAGCAGCAAAGCGAGATTGTAATGCGCCACCTACCCGCTATCTCAATATATGGTTATGTGGGCGGCAGACAAATTTAAGCGGTATGGGCATTAGAGTGGGCGTGTTAAATAGGTATTGACGATAATAATACTTTACAGTTAAATTTTTTTTCTTGCATGAAAATTGCGGGAGCCACAGGCTTGGGCGGTTCGTGGGCGTTAGAGTGGGCGTGGCAAACTTATTTTTAAGTCAATCAATAGGCATTGAGGAGATCAATACAGTTCAGCTAAAGAATTTTTTCTAGCACAAAAACTGGAGGCACCACAGTTTTCGGCGGCTTGTGGGCGTTAAAGCTCAGGAATCTACATACCTAACCCCAACTTTCTAGCTTTTGTAGTTCCCTATATCTTAGCGTTCATCCGGACGGACAGACAGACGGACATGGCTAGATCGACTCGGCTAGTGATCCTGATCGAGAATATATATATGTCAGGGGCTGAGACATTTGCTGGTCTCCTTCTTGCATATTGTTGCAGATGCGCAGTGAGTCGCGGTCAACGTCTTCTCCGTTCAGATATCAAAAGCAAAGTGAAGTCGGCTTCCTTCTGCCGGCTTCTTCTGACACACGTCAAAATGACACACGTCATCTAATTGCAAATTCCTTTCTTTTCTCTCTCTTTTTCATTTGCAATTCCTTTTTGGTCCTTCTCTCTCTCAGAGTCCTTGACCTTGACCATGACCGCGCCACACTCGGCTGAGACGACACTCTCTCTCGTTCTCAGTCCACGCTCTCAGCAATTGTGCAATTAAAAGGAACCACAAATAACCTAATGACTAGTTTATTTTATTCTTTATCCTTTCTCTTTCTTAATGCTATACAGTTTCGTTTACATTTTCTTTCTTCTTATACATCTCCGACACGGCCATCCTGACTTTCACACGTCCTCGTGTGCATACTGTAACACTAGGTTGGTATCATTCTTGCTTAATTTCTCTTTTCATCTTTTACATCTCTCAACATCATTCTTAGCTTAATAATTAGTCTACACACACAACTTTATAAATTGCGTCATCAAATGTCGGTTTCGCAGGCTATCTCGCTTTCTCACATCGTACAGTGAGTCAAATCAAACTTGTCTCACCAGTCAACCGCGCCACACGCCATGACAGAACACTTCTGGTTCCACACTTGTGCCTTCGGCTTGACCTGGTTCAACTTTCTCTCAGTAGCTCGTACTCTTCTGCGCAAACCCGACCATTTGGCTATCCTTGTTATCAAACCACAGTTACAGGCTCTTGCCGCCCCAGGCGACGCTTTGCACCTTTAGTGCCACGATCTGCTCAGATCCAAACTGCATCACACAATATCATCCATACCAGGCATGACTATTGTTGATCAAATCTAGCCCCTGTGTTTGATGTCTCACGACGAGTGTCTTTTTCACCACTGTCACTTTCCTCAATAGTCTCATCAGAGATCTGCTCGTCCGGCAGCCTTCTCAAACTCTCGTGCGAATACTTGTAGGTTCGCTTGCTAGTTAACGATTTTAACAGGTATCGATCACCTTCCAACAACTCGGCAACCACAAAAGGTCCTTTGAACTTAGGATCCAATTTGGTCTGATGCCGCTCTTCACTTCTAAGCAAGACATGATCCCCAACCTTGTGTTTTACAACTTTGGCCTTATTCTTATCAACTCGATTCTTTTCATATTTCGCATTTATTTCAATATTTTCTTTGGCCTGAGCCCTCGCTTGCTTACAATCTATTTTAGTCTCTTCATTTATTGGCAATAAGCCCATTGGCCTGGCCTCTCTTCCAATCAATATTTCTAATGGGCTATACTTTGTTACCCTGTTCGTTGTGCAATTCATGGCTAACTGTACTTCACTGAGTGCATCCTGCCAGGAACGTTCACCTATCTCTACCGCTGTCAACATACTCTTCATCGTGCTCATGACTCTTTCAACCTGTCCATTGGCCCTACTTGCACCTGTTGCTATCAAATGTAACTCTATTTTATGCATTGAACAGAACTCACGAAATTTCCCACAAGAGAAACTCCTGCCTTGATCTGCTATGATACGGTTAGGTACCCCAAAAAGTGATATTGTTGATTTTACAGCCTTAATACAGTTTTCTGCATCTAAATGCAAAGTATGATATAGGTGAACAAATTTAGTAAATGCGTCTATTTGTACTATGACATATTCCTTGGTATCATTTTTACCACTCAGCTTTCCACTAATATCAATGTGCACAGTATGCCAAGGTATCTCAACTTTCGGAATTGGATGCAATTCCATTTGAATTTTCCCTGATGGAGGCTTTGCTAGTTTGCATTTGATGCAGTTTTCTACAAATTTTCGTACATACTTGGACATATGCTCGAACCAATACTGCTCATAAACCTTGTCTAACGTTTTCTGCCACCCCAAATGCATGATTGCTTCATGGACGTGATTTACTACAGACCACCTAAAGGCTCTTGGGATTACAGGTAGACAGCGTGTTTTTCCATTTCTCTGAATTTTCCGACACAGAATTCCTGCTCTTAGCTCATACGTCTTTGCTAAACTCTCCAACAACTCTCCATCATTCAAATGGACTATAATTTCCCTTACACACGAATCACGCTGCTGCTCAGCTACAAGCCAGTTGTCTGTCACCTCTGTCAGGTCGATGCGGACTTCGGGTACTCTATTGGTTGTCTCACATTCAATGACAATCGGGTTTCTGGATAAAAAGTCCACGTGCGCCATGCGATTTCCCTTGCGGTACTCTATAGTGAAATCAAATGATTGCAGATATGCCCACCAACGGTGAACTCTCGGCGTTAGTTCTATTTTAGCACGACTTGCTTTCAATGAATTACAATCTGTGAATATTACAAACTTTCGACCGTGAAGGTAATGTCGGAAACTTTTTACAGCGTTGTATACTGCCAGAGTTTCTAATTCGTATGAATGATACCTCGATTCTGGGGGCGATGTACACTTGCTAAAGTATTCGACCACTCTAGGCTTACCGTCTATTTTGTGCATGAGAATGGCACCATAGCCACTTGCACTTGCATCTGTATGCAGCTCTATGGGATATTGTGGATCAAAAATAATTAAAACCGGATCATGTGTTAGTACTGAGATGATCTTCTGCCGTATTTCTTCATGCTCAGCTTTCCAAACGAAACTACTAATTTTGGAAGTCAACTGATATAACGGTTTCATCTGTTCAGAGAACTGTGGGACAAATTTACGGAAGTACGACGCTAATCCTATAAATTGTCGTAATTGTGAAACATTCTTTGGTTGAGATAGTCCAGCCAGAGCTTGTATTTTTCGCGGATTTGGTTCAATACTACCATCCTTGACCAAGTAGCCAAGATATTCTATTTCAGTTTTCAGAAAAGAGCATTTTTTTATATTAAATGAAAATCCTGCTTCCGATAGAGC